AAGGGCTGACTGGAAGTTAATGAGGTTGGCTGATGCTACAGGCAGTGCTTGGGGTGCAGAGAGGAGTCTGCAAAGTGCAAGAGAGCCAGCACTGTCCTGTCCCTGTTGGTGAAATCAAATGTTCTTACTGAAGTTTGCTGTCTTTGCTGAACAAGCTCTGCCTTTTCCATTTAAGTAAACACCTTCATCCCAAGGAATTGGGGCAAATTTGCTGATTAATTCTCCAGCAAAGAAGGTAATTTAAATTTTCCAATAGACAGGAAGAGGATAACTGGATTTGACATAGATGACATTTTGACATTTTCCAAAATAAAGCAAGGGTCAACTCATCTCCCAAGCATCAAGTGATAAGACAAGATGAAATGGCTTCAAGTTGTGCCAGGGGAGGTATAAGTTGGATATTAGGAGAAATCTGTTTATTGAAACAGTTGTGTGGCATTGGAACTGGCTGCCCAGGGAAGTGGTGGAGTCACCATCCCTGGAAGTATTCAAGAAATGTGTGGATTTGGAACTTAGTAGCATGGTTTAGTGGTGGATTTCAATACCAGGTTTTTAAAGGTTGGACTACGTGATCTTAGAGGTCTTTTCCAACCTGAATGATTCTGTGATTTTGCAAACCTACAGATGCATTTCCAAATTGAAAACTATTTCAGAAATGTATTCCAAACCACACTACTGACATCTTATTGGATAAAAATTCACCACTTAATTTTAGAAAAGTACCTGTGAGCAGTAAGACATGATAATGGCTTTCTATGTTAGATGTTTGGGCTGATAAGAAGTAAGAATAAAAATACAAAATGATGACTTTCATTAAAATCTCCTTCCTCTGTGATAGTCCTCTCAGTTTACACTGCAAAATAAGTAGCATGTTTCAGTTTAAAAAAGTTTTAAATGTTTTCAAAAACGTGTCAGCTCTTAATTCTGAGCAACTCATAAATATCTTTTTCAGAAGGAAGACTGTCAGACCTTTTTTTCCACATTTGTTATGAGACACCCTTGCCATTCTTGCCCTTAAATATAGCTATTAATAAAGCTAGAAACACACATCAGAAAATGATTATAGACCACTTAATAAATATTCTGAATTCTCAGGTGGTTTTCTCCCCTAGTTTGCAAAACTATTTATTTCCTTTTGTCTTATATATATGTTTGCAGTATAAAAAAACAATAGGAACAGTACTGGACACTGACTTCCACTTTACCAAAAGGTTGTAGGAAAAAAAATGCACAAATGCAGAAGCAAATTAAATATTTGTTTGCATGGAGTCCTTCCCAATTTTGAAACCAATCACAGATCTGGTAGAAATTCACAATTTCTGAATAATGTGTGTTGGAATTAGAACATTTTTCAATTTTTTAAAAAAGTGACTTTATTTGGTTCCTACATCACAGATCTGAATGAACACAGCACCAAGCTCACCAATGAAGCTACAGGGAGGCTGCTATAATACCTGGACTGCCTGAATCCCATATCAGAACTCTTATACCTAAAGGTCACATCATCTTCTAACAGCCTAATTCACTTTTGGGTACAGAAATGTTTTAAATATACACTATATTTTAAGCAATAAATGTCTGGGTAACATAGAGTAAGCTTCATATACCTAAAATGATAATATACACTGTAACTCTAGAGCCATCATGTGTATATATATATATATATATATATATATATACACACACATACGAGAAATGCTTTGTTCAGAAACCAGTTGGAAATAATAAGAGAAAAAAGTTTAAACAGATAAAGACACCAAAGAGGTACAAGTCCTCTTAAGAGTTGTAGTGTACACCAGATATTTTTCAGTTTTGTGACTGTTGGGTTATATTTTTTCCACACAGGTGAAACAAAATACTAAGTCCTTGTAGATAACAGTTTCACCAACTGGTTAGCAGGTGGGTGAAGTGACTCTGTCTCTCCTATTCAAGTTTAGAAAAATTTCCATCTGCTTTGTATCTGCATGAAATGCTCACAAATGTGAAGCAATACACAGTGGACTGGAAAATAATAAGCTCGAGAAGAAAAATAATAAAACCGATCAGAGCTGGAAGAACTATGAACTCACTTCCACCCTAAAGATACCCAAACAATCTAAAGACTCTGTTATAAAAATGAACATAATGCTTAGAAAACAAGAAAGAACAGCAAGACATAAATCAAATAAAAATATCATGCGGTTGTGGCTTAGAAAACTGCATGACTCGTACAACTCAGTATGTACCACATTCTGCTTCTACAGCCCTTTACAGAGCTGGATAATTCAAGGCTGCCTGAAGGACACAAAACACCCACGTGTCCATAACCAGTGCAGGCCTTGTTAGGAAGAACTCAAGGCGGCCACCTAATTAAAAAGAGGATGTTGACAGACAAGAAAGCAATCAGCCATATTCTATACCTTGCAAGGAATAGGAAAGGCATTTTCAAGTCAATTTGAGATGAAGCACAACATGAGGAGAAGGTATCATGAAACATTTGCTATGCTGAGGTTACAAAAAGCTTTTTTGAAGGAAGGTTCACAAGCACGTAGCAAGGTCTGCAAAGAGACAATCAATAAGGATAGAAACATCCTCTCGGGTATCAAGAAATTATTAGATGCCACGGAGTGGCCAGAAGGGATAGAAAACTGAAAAGGAAATACAGCTGTGAAAGATTTGACTCCTCTACTGTATTCCTATGAAATATTAGTACTAAATGTGCTGGGGCTGTGGCCTTGGCATCAGACTTACAGCCAGACACATCCCTCAGTTGCAGGCAGTTAAAAGCAGAGTACCAGAGAACAGGGATATCCTATGCACCTCCAGAAACGTGCTTGCGAATAGGATACAACATTGCTGTGAATATTTTAAATAAACATCGACTTGAAAGAAGAGACAGACTTTGCCTCTGCAACAGACATCATCAGGTTAAATATTTTTCCTGACCAAGTACATTCTGAACACCTAAGAACATGTGTTGGGCATAAAGCTCTAGCATTCTTCCAGTAGCAGCACAGACATGGGTAAAAGAGAGCTGGGACCTCCATAATTTAGATTAATTGCTTACTTTGGGTATGGGGAAAGGTGCAGTGGGAGTACTACAGCCTCAAATAACAACCGACAGCAGCAAGGGAAGGAGGGAAGAGAATAGAAACCACCTTTGACATTTCCCTCAGAAACGCGCATCAGCCTGTCACCAGGAGCATTTTGCTTGGAACTCACTTAAAGTAGCTGTAAGAAGTCCTCTATGTTCCTTCCCCACAAGCATCGCAGCAGGACAGGGCCACCGCCTCTGCTGCCTGTGCCAGTAAAACAGATCATGACATCGGAGCAAAGATGGCAAGGCAGGAGAGAGCAATGGTGCAGTGCTCCTGGGCACGACTCAGACTGAATTTAGGCCTTGCTAAGGATATTAGTTTTTACTCGCTCTGAACTGGTAACCCCAAACCAAAATGGTACTCATGATTCCCTGCTCCCCTAATCCAGCAGACTGCTCCAGTATATCCCTGCAAAACAATTATTTGCACCAATCATTTCCCAAATGGGGGTGCAAGATGTTTAGAAGAAATCTGCTTGACTGAGAAGACAATGCTTAAGGAACTTTAGCTTTTAGTTTTTAAGGAACAATGCAGTTTACAAGCTGTCACCTAGCAGGAAACAGAAATAACTGCCATGCTAAGCATGTTGGTTTAATGTGTGTTAAATGCTCACCATTTAAATTATTAAATGTAATTACTGTGCAAGCAGCCTTCTCTCATTATATATTTCTAGTAGCAAAGCCCATTAGCATGGCTGCCTTCCTCCTCCCAGATCTGCTTTCCTTCTGATGCCTCTGGTGTGGCAGCAGGAGGCGATGAGATCAGCCAGCCTCTAGCTCAGGATGCGGCACAATGCTGGATATGGGAAAAAGGAGGCAAGGCCTATGCAACCTGACCAGCAGCCCAAGGCCTAGTGCAGCTCTCCAAGCTGCACTGCCTTACCTCTGTTTCCCTCTGCGCTTTCCCGTTACACTGCTGTGACAAGAAATGAGTTGTGCCAGACATAAAGGTCTGGGAAGAGTGTTTTGTTGCCTTCATTTGGAAAGCTTGCCTCATGGCAGACCCTGGTCTGTCCCCTGACACAGCCCTCCAAGACCTGGGTCTGAAGCAGCAGAGAAGTGTGCATTTCCCCCAACTCTGTCTGCTTTGAGGATTTTTTTCAATAGTATTTGTGTTAAAAATAATGTCACATCTCTTCAGATCACTGAAGTGAAAGTATATTTTGTGCATTAAAAAAAACAATTCACTTAAACCCTGCTAAACCAAAGCTCTTATTTCGCCACATCCTCATTACATCCTTAGGTGTCAACACACTCTTCATTTTCTCTCAACAAGATCATTCTTATCTCATCATAGAGATGTTCCAGAGTGTATTGAATAACCAGGATAATAAATGAATGTTTTTAATGCAATTAGGAATATTGCATGGATTGGAAATGAATTCCTAGCTAAGGTATTTATCAAACAAGGAATGTAACTGCATCTTTAATTTTGTTAGTCCTAATGAAAACAATAAGATTATTCATATGATTAAACTTAAGGTGACTTGTCAGAGCAAAGTGTAAGAGTGTATGATATATTTGGACCCAATTCAGAACAATACTTAGGAACACGGCTGGCTGTGACCTATCAAACACTAAGCACTTAAAGCACCGCATAAGATCAGACGAGGAAAAAGGAAGATTACAAGATGACATCTTTTGTCTGTGTCTCTCTCACAAACCTCTGCTCAGTCTTATAATGGATTTCACAACCATAAAATACCAGATTTACAATATTTGAGTAAATCTTAGTGCATCAGTAATAAAAATACCAGCAATAATAAAATAATATTGAATAATTCTCCCAAATGTACAATCAGCTTCTTGTAGCCTTCAAGATTGCAAACAGCTATGGTTAGAAGTTGAAGAAGTGGGTGAAGAAATGCAAGATGAAGAAATCATAGACATTTAGACATGTGTAATGTAAAATATAATATGTCACCTTGCTGCCGCGTTGGTGATTATTTTCAGACTGCTGGGATTACGGATCAGTTTATCCAGGATGCTGACAATCTGCTCGAACTTGGGTCTGTTGTTTCTGTCTTTCTGCCAGCAGTCCAGCATCAGCTGATACAAGGCAGCTGGGCAGTCCATAGGTGGTGGCAAGCGGTACCCTTCATCAACAGCCTTAATTACCTGCACAAGGATAAAAGTTTTTGAGAACTTGGAGGCAATTACATCAACTTGTTTTTATCTGTTCTGTGAATCACATTAACATGGACATTCTGTGTTTAAACAAATGTGTTTATTCACTAATTGTCTTGCAGTGCAATGCTCTTGGTTTATCTGCAAAGTAAACCAGGCAGTAAATTAGGCATACAAAAAGGGCTGTAGGCGTGTTAAGATACAGTATGTGACTTTGAGGAAGGTGAGAGTCTAAAAAAGATCTCCAAAGCTCACATTTGACTGAACTAACTCTGTAAATAAAAGCTATAGTTAATAAGATGTCTGCTTAAATATGCCAAACTTCAAAAGGTCTTGAATATCAATGATCCTTAGCAACATGTGTCCCACACTCTCCAGTGGACACTGCATGCAGCAGAAGACCAGCCAACTCAACGGAGTCCCTGCACTGAAAGGTAGAAAGTCAGGTAGAGAAGTGAGACTGTAATTAATCTCACAGTGTCAGGAAATACTTTGAAAACATACCATGAGGTAACTATATACTTCCTACTAGGCAGTGCAGCCCCATTTCCTTTGTCATTTATCTAGATGCAGGGTCAATAAGATCAAAACTGTCATTTGACAAAACAAAATTTAGTCTAGTATTTACAATGTTATTGAACTTCTTGATTATAAGTTTTTCACAAGACTACAAGGCCTCTTGATCAGTCCTACTATATCTTTTGCACCATGAGTCAAAAAAACCCAACATATTCTAAGTAGAAAATGATAAAGGACTATTTTGTTATCCTTTCTGCTTTATCTGGATCAGTTAATCAAAAAAGCAGGAAAAAACTATTCTGAATCAGAACAGGGATAAGAAAAAATCTACAGTTAAAACAGTCATGAAGCCAAAACACATAAGTGGATTAATATTTCTGTTTCTGATTTCAGTGTGAACAGCTATTATGAAAGGCATTCCACTAGTACATCAGCCTATGTAACACAATTCATTAATCTCCACCAACAATTGTAAAGCTTTCATGGCTAATTAAAAGAAATATAGAGCTTGCTGCAGACTTGCATTCCGGAGGTACTCATTTCAAAAGAGAAATATATATATATATGGAGAGAGAGAGAGGGAGAGAGAGAGAGAGAGAGAGTATTTCATATAAAGTAACATAAACAACGTGTGATTACAACTATGTTAGTGACTTTCTTGAATGCTATGTACTATATGTACTAGCAATGACATATGCCAATCCTTTGGAAAATCTGTGCATGTTAGTGAACTTGGTTCATAACTCCTATGGAATAAATCTAGGATTAGTGAGGCACCATCAAAAAACAGCCATAAGAAAAATCTTATTTTGAGAAATGTTAAGCTTCTTGCAGAAATACTGTGAGAGATACATTAATCGTTTGGATTGCAGACTTGGACAGTTCACTAATGTTGCAAAGAAGCCTTTATTGGAAGTCTTTTAATCAAATACTCTACTTCTCTATTTTATCCGTTGATTACTTCCAGAAGTATTTTGGTTTTATTAAACTCTTAGTAGAAATGCTCTGCTTCTCTTTTTCACAGACTCCAAGAGCAATTTATTCTGTGTATTTGACATTTATGGAAAACTTCTATGTAATATTATAGAAGTGGAACCAAAGGGCATCCACAGAAATTAGGAGGGCTTTCTAACAATAAGAAAAGGAATGTAAAAGGGAATGACATCATTGCAGTGGAACTGTTTGAATCATCCTACAGAAAACCACCAGAGTGATAAAATCCTCTTAGTTTGCTCCTACAGAGGTCCAAAATATCCTGTTAAAAAGATGTTAGCTTTTTGTTAAGTTCATAGGAACTTTTACCTGACCAGGGACATGTGCAAATTTTCATTTCTAAATCATCTTCAATGTCAAAAACTCAGAGCCACCTGGTTTCATTATGCTTCACTTACTTTCACAGTCTGATCCTCTGTTTGAGAACATAACTCAGATAACAGCATACTCACATCCTGGTTGGACATCTCCCAGTATGGTCTTTCTCCGTAAGACATCACCTCCCAGAGAACAATCCCATAGCTCCACGCATCACTGGCTGATGTGAACTTCCGGTATGCTATGGCTTCTGGTGATGTCCATCGGATAGGAATCTTGCCCCCCTGGGAGCAAAATCAAATAAAAAAGGCCATTTGACTCTGATACAATGAATAGAATTTGGTACAATGGGATATTTTAAATGCATCTCTGAGATTATCATTATATAAGTGTTTAAAAAAAACAACAGCGTAAGGTGGAAAATGCTATTTCCATTTGTCATGATAGTATCTTGGATGCTATACAGAGTAAAATACATTACAGTGCAAAACCTATTGAAGCTATAGATATGTAGTATAGTATACATACTGCATGCACGTACATAAGTATATATACACATATATATTTACATAGAGTATAATATACCGACAAAAATTGAAACTTAACAATGGTTGATTTTCAGTTATAAAATGTTTGGGAAATATTGGTGAGATAGTCTACAGAACTAAGGATGAAAAGGTTAGTACCAGGCCCTTGCTTACATCCTAGATCCCTTTGCACAGAAAAAATTGCCCACTCTAGGCAAAGCCTGCAGAGACAGTCAGAGAAAGAGAGATTTAGATGGTGGTGTTTGTGCAGGGAGGAGAGTAAAAAAAATGCCATCTGAGAAAGTGGTTTTAAACTTTATTTTTTTTTTACAGTCATGATAGAAGAAAACCATTCAAGATTAAATTATGTAATCTTGAAGAGAATTAAAGCTACCATTACAATTAATATTTTATTAGTTATAGGAACCTGTCTCTCTGTTTATCGCCACTACTTGGTGCCATAGGTCAAATTGGTAAAATGCACACAAGCAGCCTTGGGCTAATTCTGCAATGTGAGAATTAGAGGGAAGAGACAGTTTCCAGTGGTGCCAGATTTGACAGAGGGCTTTAAGACTCTGATTTGTGGGTCACACAGGGGAAAAAAAAAGGTCCAAAAAGACAGCAGTGTAAAGCTTCCTGCTTAAGGCAATCTGAAGTGAATATATTTGAATGAAGAAAATTGTGAGAATTTAAAGTTGTTTCCAGTTCCAGGCATGTACAACATATAGAGAGATGTTCTCTGAAGATATCACACTAGCCTGTAGCTATTTGAGGTACCTCTGCAAACCCCTTTATACTAGAGTCGGATCACGCACCTAACTTCACCATAACCTGTGTGGGAAAGGAGTGCTATTACTTCCGCGATTCAGTGGAAATATTCTATTACGTAACAAGAAATAAAGCATAAAGACTTTGCCTATGCTTCCATAAAGTGTACCTGCACTGAGGGCAGACATACACTTACAAATTTTAGTTCAACTAGCCTGGTTAACAATAGAAATGCGGACATGAAGCATTCATTAGAAACCTGAAGACAGCCCACGTCAGAGCCTAACCATCTGCAATTTCACAGTTAAAATTGCTCAAATTCACTTAAATGTAAGAAACACAGGTGCATTTTGCTCAGGCTGCAATTTAGACCTCCAAAATGTCACCAGATATGTCTTAGAAGCTTGGCAAAGGTCAGGGAAAGGATATAACCTGGTACATATACTTTATATATATATATTTTTATTATTATATTTTTTAATCAAACTCTTTAGCAGACTCCCTACCTTAACCAAAAGACAAACCTGCATTTCACACAAAATCGTGACCATTAGGTAAAAACTGGATTTCCACATTACTTGTGGACCAACAAATAGGACAGAGAAAATACACAGGGGTATTTCAAAACACTGTTTCATCAAAGCCAGGCTACAGAGCCCAACGTCTGTCACTTTCAGACGGGGAAATCTATAATGAAATGTCCTTTAGTCACAAAAAGTATATTTTCTATTCATCATATGTTATTCATAATTCCCAGTGCTGCTGTATAACGGTACCAAGAGCATAACAATGATTTTGTTTTTCTCATACCCTATTGAGAAACAATGCTATATGCATTTTATAAAGGTCCAGAATCCCTCAGTGAGTCCAAGGCGCAGCTGAAATTGCAAAGTTCTCCTGTGTGCCAGTGTTTTAACAAAAAATCAATTTGCCCTTTAAGATGTTGGGATGACAAAGAAATCGGTGCCACTGCTTCAACCTTTTTTTTCTACGTGTATAGTAGACTGAACTTTGTTTTCTTCTCCTTCAACGGGTCATGCAATAAGGAATGTGAATACTAGGGGGAAAACCAGATCCTAAACTTATAAGAACAAAACCCCACCACCAGAAATAGGAAGAGCTTCCAAGGCAAGACAACATCTACCACTCATCCCAGAGGCTCAGAAGTCATTTGCAAGTCTGAGCAGAGTCCAAGTGTAGCAGAAAGGCTGCACAAGCAGCAGGTCATAAAAGAGATCAACACTGATGTTTAGTTGGAGAGAAGTTTTGACTTCCTGGTCAGGTGGAGAGAACTGTTGATCCTTGCTGCTAACATGGCAGTGGAGCAACCTGCAGACAAGTCCCAAGCCTTGCCTCACCTCTGCTGATTCCTTCCCTTGTGCCTGGAGACATCAGCACTGCTGGGAAGCAAACTGTTCCACCTAAATGGACAGAAACTGAGATAAAGGAAAAAGTATCCTCAGTGGACCCATGGCAATGTAAGCCAAGTTGCGCCTCATTGTCCAGCAATTGCTTTGGCTAAATTTTCAAAAGAGAGATGGCAGAACATAAACTTACGATGTTCCACATAAGAAAGTCCTCGAGGCAGTGAATAGTGATGCTGTTTTTCTTACATTGGCATAATAGCTGGTTTTCTGAAACACAGAAGTATCACTTCGGAATACTCAGAATCCTACTGTCCTGAAATTTGAATTTCCATGGGTGGCTTCAGGCTCGCTTTTTCAATTTTGTGTTAAGATGTGAAAATGGAACCTTACTTGCTGAACTGTAGAGAAATGATTGTCAGATGCCACATGGAAAAATGTGCTTGTGGCCAGAACATGAGCACTTTGTGTAAGGGCAGGAAATATCATTTTTGATAGAAGGCCTTTATAATCCTGTAGGAAGTCATTTATACAATTGGAGAAAAACATTTACACAAAGTGATGTTAATTAGTCTCCAAGTATATTAGAACTGCCTTATTGCAGGGTAAGGAAGATTATAAGCTCAATGAAACAAAGTTCTTTCGTCTGTGTTTGTTTTAGTTAAAAAAATGTAAGTACATCAACTCCACTACAAGAAAATACTTTTTTTTTTTTTGCTAAGTCTTATCTGCAACTCTATACAACTCTGCAGACACACGTAGCATTACTATAAACAAGAGTAAAATAAGAAGAGTATTAAAATGTAGCTAAAAAAGAAATCAACTATCACTGATCATAGTATAAAAACTGTAATTTTGCTATTCTGCTTTCCAATTTGTCATAAAAACGTCAATCTTCTCTTTGTATTTAAAAGGGGACTTTGTTGACTCATTTCATGTATAATTTAAGAACAAGAACAGCAAGCAAAGTTCTGGTAAATATTTTTTAGACACATAAGCATTTTAACACAAAAACAATTCCTCCCAAAGGACTATGTAGCACACACATTTTAGCAGATGTTCAAATATCAATACATGTAGAAAAATCTGAAGAGTCATATCAATCTAAATGCATGATGTTCTATCACTATTACCTTTGAAAATGTTAAGGCTTACTGTGATTTAAGAAATCTATTTGCAATTCCAAAAACATGTGGTCATTCAGCATAAGAAAATTCCTTCTCGCTTATCTCCACCGTTTTAAATACACATCTCATTTGAACACGTAGCACCTCTTCCATTTTCTTCTTTGTCAGGATTGAAGATATCTTACATTAATTATCTTTGCATAAACAAAACTGAATACTTTCTCCTAGACCACATTTTCAGAGCTAGAACACTAAGTTTTCCTACTTCTTTCTTTATCCATCTCTTGTTTGTTACGCTCTTTCCCCAGTCTCTCTATATTTAAAATTAATATAATGATTACTACTCTAAAAACTGCTGTAATGAAAGTGCTAAGAAACCCTACTTATATGTCTTGTTACATATTGTATGTCTATTAGGTTTTCATACAATTTAGTCTTCTTTATCTATATGGCCTCACTATGGGCAAATCATACCTGATGATGGGGTTACAACATTGGTGGTTAAGACAAGCTGTGTCTGGTGTTAACATCTTTGTTGGTGACATGGACAGTTGGATTGAGTATTCCCTCAGCAAATTTGCCAACGACACCAAGCTGTGTGGTGCTGTCAAGCCGCTGGAGAGAAGGGATGCCATCCAGAGAGACCTGGAGAGACCTGAGAGGTGGGCCTGTGCAAATCTCATGAAGTTCAACAAGGCCAAGTGCAAGGTCCTGCAAATGGTCTGGGGCAATCCCAAACATGAATACAGGTTTGGTGAAGAGTGGATAGAGAGAAGACCTGCAGAGAACGATTTGGGATACTGGCTGATAGTAAGTGTGACATGAGCCAGCGAATGTCTGCTTGCAGCCCACAAAGCCAGCTTTATTCTGGGCTGCATCAAAACTAGTGTAGCTAGCAAGTTGAAGAAAGTGATTCTCCCCCTCTACTCTTCTCTCCTGAGACCCTATCTAGACTTCGGTGCCCCCATCAAATGAAAGACAGACTTGTTAGAGCAGTTCCAGAGGAGGGCTGCATTTCAGATCAGAGGGCTGTAGCACCTATGAAGAAAAGCTGAGAAAGCTGGAGTTATTTAGCCTAGAGAAGAGAAGGCTCTGGGTAGACCTTATCGAGGCCTTCCAAGACTTAGGAGAGGCAAGCAGGAAAGATAGGAAGGGGCTCTGTCAAGAAACGTAGTAATAGGACAAAGGTAACAGTTGTAAGCTAAAAGAAGGTAGGTTTAGATTAGATATTAGGAAGAAATTCTTCAATACAAGGTCGGTGAGTACTAGAATAGGCTGCCAAGAGGTACTCTGGATGTCCCATCCATGGAAGTGTTCAAGGCCAGGTTGGATGGGGCTTTGGGCCAGTGGTCTAGCAGAACGTGTCCCTGCCCATGGCAGTGGGGGTTGGAACTTGGTGATCTTCAAGGTCACTTCCAACTCAAAGCATTCTATGATATTGCTATTCCTTATCCACTAGTGGAAAATCTGACGCTCTAATATTATCAGCTCCTACTCT